GCACAGTTTGGGGGAGTAACTGACCACATCTAGCAAAATTACAAAAGCACATGCCCTTTGACATGGCAATACGACATCTAGGAATGTGCCCTAAGGAATTAACACACGTGACACGCGTGTGCACAAGATGTTGACTACAGCACTGTCTATGATGGTGAAAAAGTTGGAAACCTATATGTGGATCAGCATGGGAGAGAATGTATACATTATGGTATATTCACTCAAGAGAAAACTCTATCACAGTTAAAAATGAATAAACCCAACCCTACATGTGTCAACGTGGGTAAATCTTGAAACCAATGTTGAAAAAAATAGCAAGTGGTATTATGATGTGTGAGGCTTGATTCCATTTATGTGAATTTAAAAAACACCCAAAGCAATGTTTTCTGTAAATCTATTGCTTGTGAATCCAACTATAAATGATAAAATTCCAAAAATATGTGTGGAAATCATCCATACTGACCTCAGGGTGGTGGTTTGCTCTGAGGAGGAGAGAAAAACTATGGGATTAGGGAGGGTTACCAGGGGGCCATCAAGTGTGTCTGTGTGAGAAGTCAGGGAGGGCAAAAGTTTTCTGGAGGGAAGGTGGGGTCAGCAGTGCTAACTGTGGCAAAGATGCCCCGTGAGATGAAGGTTAAAGGGTGCCACATGGCCATCATGGGTGGCCTTGGCAAGGGTAGTGTGTGGTGCATGGGGACAGAAGCCCCACTGGAGGAGCCTGAAGGAGGAGGGACAGCAGGTGGACATGATACTTTCAAGGAGGCTGTCCAGGAAGGGCAGGAGAGAGATGTAGCTGAAGTCTGGGGAGGGCCAGGGGCAGACCTTGGGGGAGGAGCCTAGGGAGGCTAAGGGCACCTCAGAGCAAGTGCCACGTGTTCTTGGAGTCCCCATTGCAGGGCTACTCCCCTCCAGGGCCTCAGTCTGACAGCCTACCTTAGTATCACCAGCAGCATCAGCGGCAATAATAGCAGCGGCAGCCATCTTTTATTGTTTCTTTTTAATGTGCTAGGTGCTATGCTAAGCATTTTTTATGCATTCTCCCATTGAATCTCCCTCTAAACTTCATGGGGCAAATACTGTTATCATCCCCATTTCACAGCTGAGAATTACTAGGCTTGGAGAAGTTAAGCATGTTGCCCAAAATCACATTGTGAAGTGGCAGGGCCAGGTCCCAGCTCCAGGTAACTGCCTCCAGAGCTCAACGAAGAAATGACATCAGTGTGGGCCCCAGACAAGGTCCATCTCCTGCAGGAGGTGAGGTTCCAGCTGGCTGAGGATGCAGAGGTGCAGGGCCCGAGATCACTGTGGCCTGGGAGTGATGCATGGCAGTCCTTCAAGCAGGGCCATTTGGAAGTTACTTTCATTGATACCCCTTCGTCTTCCTTCGTGCCCCTCGCGGCCTGCACAGTCACTTTTCTGTGGCATAGAAGCATGACTCTGGGCTTGTTTCCTCAACCTCTGTGTCTACATGTCGCTTTGAGCTCTCACTCTCCTCTTATACCCCAGCTCTGCTGCCAGGGATATCAGGCCCGTCTTGAGCTTGACGTGCAAAAGCCCTTTGTGATGTAGGCTTTGTCACCTCTTCTGCCTCGCCCCCCTCCTTCCACTCCACTTTTCCAGGCCTGCTGGGGAGGACTCAACAGCGTCCCTCTCGAGCACAGGTATGGCTCCCACTCCATGCTCACCTTTCACACCGCTGCCCTCTGGAGGATTCCAGCTGTTCTTCTGTCTCCCAGGCTCTCATGAGCTCTTGGTGGTCTGTGCCCTGCATGCTTTTGTCTCCAGGGCTGGTAGTGCCCAACACACAGCAGGGGCTCCCAGGAGAGGCCAGCTCACACATCATGCCAGGGACACGAGCATCAGACATGAACCTCACCGCAGTCAGATGCTACACAATTTTTGGAATTGGCATTGATCAGTAAAATGATTTAAAAGGGGGGCAGAGGGAGTGTTTATTGAATAAAGGATAGCATTGCCCTCCTGTCTGAGGCTCCTGGGAAATAGTACCTGTTAGCCTGTGAAGCTGAGCACATTAGAGTCTTCTGAGTTAAATTTGGAATTGGGATGAGGTAGGAAAAATCTATGCTCATTGAATACAAAATGCAATTGTCTGTCAGTGCAAGAACTAAAGAATCTGCCACAAATTATATTTAAGACTCTATTGTCACAGGCAGATTAGCTAATGCTTGATTTTAAGTATAGGCTTCTAATGCTATTACTCCTGGTTAGCTCTGCCTGGCAGGTAACCTTGTGGAACAAATGACTGCATTGCTTGAATAACATATTTGATCAAACAGGACAATTCTTTCAAAAATTGAGTTCTCTGTGGCAATTTGAGACCTGTAATCAGCAAATTAGATGATTACAGCAGGGATAAAAATAGTCTTCTAACAATGTCCAAGGTATAATTGTGATTTGAATTTCAAAATGCTGAACATGTGGTAGGAAAATGCACGGTTGGGTAAATATGACTAGACGTTATCAGATTTGATTTCTCTTTCCATCCCTGCTCTGAGGTACAGCCTAATTTTGCCCAAATAAACTCCGATCTCCTTTGGGTCTGAGTTGGAGAAGTGTAGCCTCACACTAAGCTCCAAATCTTAAAGGACCTCAGTTCTGCTTACCGGCCTCGGGAACATGAACCTCAGCATCATTTATTCACCCACTGGTATGAAATGACCTCCGTGAAACAACGAGCTGTCCAAGTTCCATATGGGGGACCTTGGAAAACCTTCAACACCCACCACCTGAAGACCAGTGTTTTCTTTCTTGGGCACAGAGGACAGAGACCTGACAGCAGCTCTGATGAGGGCCAGTGAGTGAATTCTGTGAGCTGGGGTGGGATGTGAGGGCGTGGTGTGCTCTACCACAATCCAATCAGTCTTCATGGTTGCTTTTGATAAATTACTGCTTCTCTAGCTCTAACACAAGGGCCCACACTCCCGTTGCTTTTCTGGGTCCTTCCTGCT